CCCCACGACGATGCACTTGTCATAAAGGTGACCCCCTCCCCCTACAATGCCATAGTAGGTCGGCCAATCACCCATGCTTTAAAGGCCGTGGTGTCTACTTACTATTTGGCCATGAAGTTCCCAATGGACTTCAGCACCGGGGTAGCACGGGGCGACCAGCTCGAGTCCCGGAAGTGCTACGTCGCCGCCCTCAAGGGAAAAGCCAAGGTAACTGGCGACCTTGAACTGGAGCGGCCGGTGGAACAGAACGAGGAGTGAGCTGCACCAACAGAGGAAACTGTTCCCATCTCTGTCTCGACAGAAGACCCCCCCAGATTACTTCAGGTCGGAGCATCCCTGGAAGAACCCTTGCAGTCCAAACTGGTAAGTTTCTTACTCCAAAATTTAGACGTTTTTGCATGGTCTGCGGCAGAGATGCCCGGTATAAACCCTGACCTTATAACTCACAAGCTGAATACTGACCCTGTAGTTAGGCCCATTAGAAAGAAGAAATGCAACTTAGCCCCAGAACACTGGAGAGCGGTCGATGAGGAGGTCGAGAAGCTCCTCGCAGCAGACTTCATAAGGGAAGTTCATTACCTGAGCTGGGTGGCCAACCCAGTTTTGGTAAAAAAGGCAAACGGCAAGTGGCGCATGTGCGTTGACTACACCGACCTAAACCGAGCTTGCCCAAAAGATTGCTTCCCCCTCCCAAAGATTGACCACCTAGTGGACGCGACCTTGGGACACGAGTTGCTAAGCTTCCTGGATGCCTACTTGAGCTACAACCAAATCAGGATGGACCCGTCCAATGAGGAAAAAACCACCTTCATAATCGAGTTCAGCCTATACTGCTACAAGGTTATGCCCTTCGGACTGAAAAATGCTGGGGCAACCTTTCAAAGGCTTGTGAATAAGCTGTTTCAACCCTTAATTGGCACAAACATAGAATGTTATGTAGACGACATGGTCATCAAGACAGTTTTCGCATGAATTAATACAAGATTTGCATTCTGTCTTTCAAATTCTGCGTCAATTTAGCATGAAACTAAACCCAAACAAGTGTGTCTTCGGTGTCACCTCGGGTAGGTTCCTAGGGTACATCGTCAACCGGCGCGGTATTGAGGCCAACTCGGACAAATTAAAGGCCGTTCTAGATATGAGACCACCCCGAAAAGTAAAAGAGATTCAGAGATTAAACGGTAGAATAGCTGCTCTAAGTCGTTTTATGTCTAAATCAGCAGACCGTTGTCTATCCTTCTTCAAGGTAATGAAAAGCAAAGGGTTCGAGTGGAACCCGGAATGCCGGCTCGCATTTGACGAGCTCAAAAAATACCTCGCCAGTATCCCAGTATTGACCCTGCCCGAAGAGGGTGATGTTTTAGAACTGTACCTCTCGGCAAGCGACGAAGTGGTCAGCTCGGTATTGGTAAAAGAAGCAGATCGGGTCCAACGACCCATCTACTATGTTAGTAAAATATTGTAGGGAGCAAAAACAAGATATCCGGAGATAGAAAAACTAGCCTATGCGCTGGTCATCGCGACCCGCAAACTCCGCCCGTATTTCCAAGCTGATACCATCATCGTCCTCACCGACAAACCCTTGAGGCAAGTATTACTCAGGCCCGAGGTCTCTGGTCGATTAACGAAGTGGGCCATCGAACTCAATGAGTACGACCTCCAGTACAAGCCACAAACCGCTATCAAAGCTCAAGCCTTGGTGGATTTTGTTGCAGAATGCACGTTCAGCTCTGAGGTCCTCAGCCCGGTTGAGCACGGGGCTCCCAGTTCGAGTGAGCTCGGTTCTCCCAGGCCGATTGAGTCTGAGCCCCGTGAGGTCGCACTTAGTTCGGTATCTCTTCTGGTTAGGCCGAGCGCGAACTGGGAGGAAGAGCCATGGATCCTCCACGTAGATGGCTCCTCAAATCAGCAGGGCAGCGGAGCCGGTGTAGTTCTCTATGGTCCGAGTGGCACGAAGTTGGAGTACGTGCTACGCTTCGAGTTCGTGGCATCCAACAATGAGGCAGAATACGAGGCATTGATAGCCGGGCTAGCTCGGGCGCAAGAAGTAAAGGCAAAACACATAGTTATCTGCAGCGTTTCCCAGCTCATGGTCAACCAAGTTACAGGGGAATACGAAGCCCACGAGCCAACTATGATCGCTTACTTGGCAAAGGTAAAAGAGGCCCTGCTTAGCTTCCAGTCACACTTCATCAAGCAAATCCCGAGGTCGGAGAACGCTGAGGCCGACGCCCTGTCCCGGCTAGCCAGCACTAGTGACAACACCATGAGAATTGTGTACATAGAGGACTTACCTCAGCCTAGCATTCTCTAGGGGGCAGAGGAGGTCTCTCCTATCGCCCAAGTAGAGCGATCTGGATTGATCCACTCGTGAGCTTCCGGCTACACGAAACCCTCCCCGCAGACCGCAACGCCGCCAGGAGGGTAGAGCGCCAGGCAGCCAAGTACGTCATGATAGACGGACGGTTGTACCGAAGATCCTACACGCTCCCCACCTATGCTGCTTGCGGCCTCTCGAAACCGAGCTCGTACTCCACGACATTCATGAAGGCTTATGTGGCGGACACCTAGGGGGCAAGGCCGTCGCTTAGAAAGCACTATGACGGAGGTACTATTGGCCAACAATGAAAGCAGACATCGTTGGGCTAGTCAGGAACTGCGAGAAGTGCCAAAAGCACGCCAATATTCACCACCAGCCCCTCGCCGACCTCAAGTACCTCACCAGCCCGTGTCCCTTCGCACAATGGGGTATCGACCTNAAGTACCTCACCAGCCCGTGTCCCTTCGCACAATGGGGTATCGACCTACTCGGGCCATTCCCGCCAGCAATAGGAGGAAAGAAGTTCCTAGTAGTGGCAGTAGGCTACTATACTAAGTGGGTTGAAGTTGAAACTCTCGTAACCATCACAGCTCGAAACGTCCAGAACTTCTTCTAGAAGAACATAGTGTGCCGCTTCGGGCTACCTTAGGTGCTAATCTCCAACAATGGCAAGCAATTCGAGGACATCAAATTCCAAGAGTGGTGCCAAGACATGGGGATCCGGCAAAACTTCATGTCGGTTGCGCACCCACAAGCAAACGGTCAGGTAGAAGTCATGAACAAAGCTATCCTCCGCGGACTAAAATCCAGGCTAGATCGAGCTAAAGGGTTATGGGAAGACGAGCTGCCCAGCGTCCTATGGGCATACCAAACTACAGAGAAGACCGCCACCGGAGAAACTCCCTTCAACCTCACCTATGGCACGGAGGCAATCATCCCAGCCGAAATCGAAATCCCCTCACTTCTGTTGGAAGCATACAAAGACAATACTAATAACGACAAGCTACATACCAACCTCAACCTACTTGACGAGGTAAGGGACCTCGCATACATCAGGACTGTGGCATACCAGCAAAGGGTAGCTCGGTACTACAACGCCAGAGTTAAGAGACGAAATTTCCGTGTCGGCGACCTGGTTCTCCGCAAGGTCATGGTACCTGAGCCCGGCGTTGGCAAACTCGGGCCAAACTAGGAAGGACCCTACCGAGTAAAGAGAGCACTCGGGGGAGCATACGAGCTCGAGACCCTGGAGGGTAAACAGATACCCCAGGTATGGAACATCGTCAACTTAAGACGATATTACCTATAAATTATCAAACTAAGCAAGCCATGAGCCACTACCAGAGCCTAAGGGCCAGAATGTCGAGCTAACAAGGACCTCGGCACCCTAAGGGTCAGAATGCCGAGCTAACAAGGACCTCGGCACCCTAAGAGCCGAAATGCCGAGCTGAGGACTTCGGCACCGTAAGGGCCAGAATGCCGAGCTAAAGATGACCTCGGCACCTCATCAACGAAGCAAGCTGCACGAGTATGGATCCCGAGGTGCATAGCCCAGGGCCCAATTCTAAGACTATGTTAACTAACCATGGCGGAGAATAGATCGGGCGTATAGCCTTACTATGTTAACTCGCCTCGGGGCCTAAGTCTAGCAGTTCGGCAACATAGTCAGCTCGCCTTTAGAAGGGACTTCGACAATACCCGAAGGTCCTGCTTCATCTTCGGAATCCGCATCATCATCAGCTGCAACAGCCATTGCTGAAGTGATGCACGAAGTGGTTATGGCACTAATGTCGACCTCGGGGTACGTGTTCCTTATCATCCATCGACTCAACTTGAAACCCCTTCTGTACGAGCCCACCATCATGTCAACAAAGCGCGGCGAAGCGTAGTAATCGTTTCACCACCGATCCTAAGCGTAGTAAGCGTAGTAATCGTTTCACCACTGAGAGAAGATCTCACTCTTCTCCCTGATATCATCCTGTAGGTACCCGACTTGATGCTCCAGGTTTAGCTTCAGGTCGGCCATGTGTTTCACCACCGATCCTAAGGCCTCGTTGTCCCTCCGAGACCTCGTTAGTTGGACTCGCGCAGCGTGGGAAGCCTTTTCGGCAGCTTGCACTCGCTTCAAGCCCCTCTCCGCCTAGATTGTTAGAGAGTTGATAGAGGAGTTCACCTGCCAAAACAAAAACAAATCAGCCTGACAAAAAAAAAAAAAAACTATTTTGACTTGCCACCATGGCGTGAGTAGCAGCACGCGCACCTATGTGTTGCGGAGGAAGATCGGCCCACGCCGTGACCTCCTCAGGGCAAATAGCCTTCTTACTTTTTTGGAGAGCATACCTCAGTGTCAGCACACTCCTAGCCCCATCCTGACTTCCCGAGCCTGAAGGCACAACCTGGGTATAAGCAGTATCGGCATAGGGGACCCTTGCCGCTTCTTGAACTGGAGGGGCCACCACGGGCTCCCCACGAGGCTCCATTCTCGGTGCCTCAGGCTCCGCAACCTGGGAAGGGTTGGCACAGACCCGCTTAGCAGCTCGCTTCTTCCCCCTCATACCATCAAACAAGCTCGCACCTCGAGTCTTCTCTGCCTCCATAACACCTGCAAAAAGAGCTCGGCTTCAAAAGATGAGAATAAAAAACAAAGCAAAAGCAAGCCTCTGAGCAAGAAACCTACCCGAACTCAGACCGGCCTGGATAAGCTTGGCCTCCGTTAGGTAGACTTCACATTTGAGTCCAAGTCGAGCCCATTCCTAGAGGCCCTTCACCGTTTCTTCATCTAACGTGGCACTGGGATCAGGAACCACCAATCCCCACTCGGTAGGAAATGGCCACCCCGTAGCACTTCGAACCACGAAGTAGTCCCTCTTCCATGCCGAGACCTTATTCGGAAGATCATGCAAAAGCTTGAACCTCGGACGAGGAGACAAGTAGTAGGCCCGCCTACGCCCAGGCAGGGGACCCGCTTGCTTCTTGAGCATAAGAATGGAGGAAAGATTTCCAGGTCCAAAGGAAGGCTGTGTTCGCAACAAAGGGAGATGGTCCTAACAAGGTTACGAATAGAGTTCGGGTGGAGCTGACCGAAAGTAACGCCGAAGTGATTCATGACCTCGACGATAAGGGGATGGAAAGGAAGGCGCAGCCTGGCAACAAGCTACTCTCGGAATATCATGATCTCGTCCGGACCGTTCTCCCAAGGAAAGTCGCCCGAGGGTAAAATATAAGTATACTCCCCGGGTAGGTTGTACTGAGCGATAAGGGACCAAAGTCTCTTGGGCGTCATAGTGGAAGGCCCGAACTTATCTGGCACCTGATCTCGACGGGAGGTGGATGCCAAGCCACCCGAGGTGACTCGGCCTATGGGCTCGAACTAGAGCTCTTCCTCGAGCTCTACCTCGGGCCCCACCTCGGACTCACTAAGGCTGTCAGGGGCAGCAGCTCGGTTTGTAGAACTAGCATCTGACCCCCCAGAAGACTATCTAAACTACCCGAGCTAGACATTGAATCAAAAAGAAGGCTGAGGACTCACCGGGGAAAAGCTACCGGACTACGAAGTATGACGCGAGCTCAAGGAACGAATGTTGAAGAATGGTGAAGGAAAGTGACCAGAGGCCCCCCACTATTTATAGCCACTGTACTCGCGCATCAACGGCCAAGATCAAAACCATCCAATGGCTCCCCACAAAACCGGCTGCGCGCCCCCCGAGGAGAAGTCAGTTTAGTGTTAATTTTTGACATTCGAAAATTTAAAATCGTTTGGCGTCCGCGCGTGAACTGCACACAACCCGGGATTGGCCTCGGGTCGAACCAAGCCGACCCTGATCGGGCCAAAAACACAAGCAGGTCAGACTGGAGAAGCTCCAAACCAAGGCCAAAGCGTCACGAGGCAAATCCACCCGTCATCCCGTGAACTCCCCACGCCGGGTCAGGACCCCGGGCACGGGGAGTGGGGGGCAATTGATGGAGGAAGATTTGACCCGACCCCTTGGCCACGCGATACGTGGAAGCAATCGAGAGTGACCTGGCAGAAGCGCCAACACGACACAGCAGCAGGCCCACAACCCGAGCTCCGAGAAAAGGAGTCCCGAGCTCCCCCAAAAAAGGAACCCACGACCTGAGCTCCCCAAGGAAGAACCCGAACTCTCCCTTGGAGGTCCTAAGCCTTACAAGGAGCGCAAAGGGAAAAAACCCGAACTGACCTACCCCGAGGTAGTTCGAGCCACACTTCTATCCGAACTCAAGACTTCA